AATCCAGTGTTCAGAATCTGTAAGTCTGCAATATTAATACAAGACATGCAGGATTGAATTTAGAGCGAGAGAATTACAGAGTGTTCATTAAGAAAGTGGACAAACTCCTTGAATCAGTATCTAGCTCTACAGGACAGACAACTTTTAATTCTTTTCAACTGGATATCGTACAAGTTATTCTAAAAGGTCTAGTTTAATTTTGTGTTCAGTATGCTTCTGCTAGAATACTCAAGTTTGAAGTATGTTTTCATTGCTCTTTGAAAAAAATCTTGCACTCTCCACAATGAGTTTTAGATGTCTATTAAATTTCAATATTTTTGGCACAGAAAATGTATACCAAGGAAGAGTGTATTTTGGACTGAAAGTTTATATATGGAAAATCAGAATGGCAGTAAAGGTCAATGTTAAGTATAGCAGGTGTATTTAGCAATGAAATTAAGATTTGAATATGCTTATATAAGATTTTTTTTTAAAAAATATTTTGTAATGTTGCTATAAATTCAGTCTTATTGAAATTGCCGTGGAAGTTCAGCTAAGAATTTCAATACCATAAAGTTTACTTACTGTCTCCTAAAAACAGATAAAGTGCTCTGAACATAGAGACAGGCTTTTTTACATTATACCAGAGTACAGCACAGGTAAGCAAATGGGAGTGGGAGGTGGCTGTACCTTACATGCCACATGGAGAAATATATTTTTTAATTTTTTTTTTTTTTTTTTACATAGGCCTCTTCAAAAAACTCTTCTAAAGTACACATCTGTATATAGATATATAAAAACGATTCAACTGCTTAATATAAACAGTCAACTGCACTCTGATTTAGTAGCTACATTTTCCAACACGACACCAGGCAATTCTGAGTTGAGAGTTAAACAATTATTTCAAAGATACCTTCCCTCTTCCTAAAAAGAAATTGGGCTACGTCTTTATAAAGGTATCAAAAACTATACTGGTCTTCAACAAACAGGTACCTGCAATCTGCAGAAAGTAATCGTGGTTCAGGCAGTATTTGTTTATTACTGATCCAGCTAAAATGAAAACTATAAAATAACCTTCTTACCCCAGTTCCCTGCATAGCTCTGGATGACAAAGCAGACCACATTCATTAGTGCAAGATTTCCAGCAGCACCCAAGGAAGCAGACAAAGCTTGCAATTCCGGTAAAGTTCTTCCATGTTATAACAAACATGAAGATAATGTTTCCTTTGCAATTATCCATGTAATAAAATATGTAGAAATCTACTTAATTCACTATGACACTTCTGTATTCATAGAAGTTTAAACTATGCAGAGACCCTTTTTAAAATGTTCTTCCAGTAAAAAAAAAAAAATCCTAGTGAAAAGTTATCCTTATTTAGCAAAGGAATAGAGACAAAGAATGTATAAGGATTTCCTTAACAGGACTTCTGTGTAAATTTTTCTGCACATTTACAGTGCTATATAAATCTAAACATAAAATTACACTCACTAGTCAAAGCCAAAGATTTGCCCTTTGAAAAATTAAAAAAAGGAATGCAGATGAAATATTTGTAGTCCAATTCATTTGGTGACCTTTAGATCTCGTTCCAGATCTGAAATTACTTCTTTGATACCTGTTAACATACATGCCATATTACACTACTGTGGCCATATCCATTTACTTAGCTATTTGCCTCAACACGGACAAGCAACTTGCATAGCTAGTCATAGACTCTCTTGTCTGCTACGTTATCTGAACAGTGATTAAATTAAATGAGAGCTATGGGGAAGGTGAAGGGTTCAAGCTTTTTTTATTCCCCCTTTTGAGATCATAATTGAATTTCTAGCATTTTAAAGTTTAAATAAACTTTTAAGTATTTTTCCAATACTTGCATTTTTTCCTGCCGCCAGCATTCTCTTTATAAGCTTTAATATTCTCAAATCCCATTCAACTTCAGCTTCAACATAAATCACTCCATCCAGGACTGTAATTGCACATGTTAATTCTGTAGACATATACACTATCCAAAAAAAGGTCTGTAAGTCTCTCTATCTTCATATAGATTATATACAAGCATCTCTTAGTGGGTTAAGCTTGGAATATGCTAATGCAAAATTGACACTCCTGAAAAGGCAGGTTCAGATCTTGTAAGGCTGAAACGTTATACTGAAGTGCTCCAAAACAACTCTTTATCAGATGATCTCAGGTACTATGGTGGTTGCCAATAAATGTTTTTCCAACTAGGAAAGTGTAATACAGATAGGAAAGGAAAGTGATTAATAAAATCATTGAGCAATTTTAATCTTCAATATTGGTTTTTTCACAGGGAGACTTTACTCATTTTTGTATTGTAAGAAAGAGGAGGGGAAAAAAAGAAAAAAAGACATGAGTGATCATCTAAACATCAAGTCAACAGCAGACTCATGATGAAAAACTTTGTTGTTCCTAACTTCCAGATTCGCACTTAAATACTGAGACACAACTACAGAGTAACTTCCTTCCTCTTGAAATTATTCTAGCAGGAAAGGAATCTCTACCTGTAACCAGGAAGAATATCAGACCTTCAGGGTCAAAACCCAAAATCCAGTTTCTGCTTGCAGACTCTCAGGACCAATACTGAGTATTTCTGAGAGCTTGGTTTCTTGCCTGTTATTCACAACCGGGGACCTGGGCTAAAGGCTGCGATTATTACCGATTACAATACCTACCAAAACAAAAAGAAATTCACATATGATGTTCTCTGAGGAACTGAAACTGGACAAATACGTTTTCCGAGTATAGAAAAAAATAGCTACTTACATCTTACATGTAGACTGCTAAATAGGATCCCATTTATACAAAGCACGCAACCGCTTTCACTTGAAGACAGATCGGTTTGGTAACTTTCATAATGCACGTATATTAATCTTTAAGCTTAAAAATTTTTATCTAGTGCAAAAGTAAAAATTAATTCCTGTTTTACTATCAAATATACTCTTCAAAACTTTGGATGCACATAAAAAGCCTACAGCTGCAGATTTTTATATTATGCACTTAGTATTATGTTCAAATAAATAAACTAGAAATTCCCATTGAGCCCTATGAGCAAGGCACTGTTACCAACCACAAGAGATAATTTCAGGAAGGCTTCCACTAGAAGAATTCTCTAAAAATTTTGTCAATTTTTCTTCTAGTAGCTACATATTGCAATAGACTCAGAAACAAGATTCTTCCCCGAAGTGCTACAGCACGAGAACTCAACAATTCCCCATACGCAGTCTGATCTAATTGGGAGCTTCCGCTACCAAAACCCCAGCTCACTCTTTATCCATCTCATCTCTCCTACAGCATCTTATTAAAGTGCATTAAATTTCATGAAAACTGTGGAAGACAGTGTTGTATGTTTATAATAAGGGCAGCAGAGTCCGTTTACAACTCTTTGTAAACATATATTCATAATAATTTTGCTCAGAAGCACAAAGCTGAAGTGTTTTTGCCAGCACTAGTCCTGCCTGCTTTCCCAGTTCTCCCTCCATCAGCACAAAACTGGGATAATTCCAACACTGTTACACTCACCACAAATTTAAGCTACTTTTTTGTAGCAAAATTTACTTCTCACTTAACATTAAACCCTTAAGGTATGGAATCTGCAACCTAAAAGTAAGTTACAGTACCGGTTTCCAACTTTCTGAATTAGTCTCCAGACATTGAGGAAACACTTAAGCAGTTTTAGTCTTCATGCTCACCAGTATGTTCTAAGACTGGGAAAAATTGCAAGTCTGGATATTATATCATCTAATAACAACCCTAACAGTGCTATCATATAGTGAGAGTCTTCCAAAAATGAAACCAGAAAGAAAAGTGTTTGAACGAGAAGGGGCAGGCAAATTAAAACAAAATCTGTTAGCTGCTTGTATTTCTTATTATCAACTTCCACCTTTCCAATAATTCTCATTAGATTTCAGATAAAAGCCACAATAACACCACAAATCATGAAGACAAAAAATGAAATTCCAAATGCTTATCTGTTGTCAGCAGCTGACAAATCTCAGCTGATTCGCCCCCAGCCCACACTAAACTTCAGTTTCTTTGCAGAGTATATAGGGTGTTTAATTCTCATTAAAACCTACTGCATCCAAAAAAAAAATAAAAAGGAACTGTAGGAGAAAAAAGGATCTGTGAAATACCCCCATCCTCTGTAGCTCAAAGATCATCCTAGTTGGATGATTAAATTATCGGGCTATCTTAACATATTTGAATTAGCAAACAGTGGCTAATTGCTAATCAGCAATTCCTAAATGCTTTAGGCAACACTAGAATTAGGAAACACTATAAGAGCATTCAATATTGAATGAGAGAGGAAGAGAAAACTTTCAGTAGATCTAATACACCAAAAACCAATAATCAAAAGTGACCAGAATATTAGGAGCCTAATATTCTTTTTAAATATCAGACGTCATGAGGAGTTCAAATCTCTTTCATATTTCAAAGACAGCAACAAAATCAAATCAAAGCTACACAGCACACGAAACCTCTTCAAGTTGCACAAATAAACTACGCCATTTTGCCGTCTGGTATAGGGGAGAGAAGGAAAGAATGTGGGAGAACACAAAGCAGCAAAAGCTCTTTTCTGCCCGAGTTGTAGTGCCAGATGAAAAGGCCAGCAACTGCAGAGTATTTACATGGCAATCCAAAAAAAAAAAAAAAAAAAAAAAAAAAAGCAAAAGACACTAAAAAAACCCTAAACATGAAACAAAACCCCGAACATCTTATGTGCTAAGGCCATTAAGAAAATGAGATTTTACAGTTCACTTTTTAAAAAAAACAAATGCTTCCTGTAGATATTTAAACAAAACTGATTTAAACAAAATATACTTAACATTAGCACCTTTGCTGAGTAAGAGATTCCCAGTATCACAATCCCTTCACCTTCCCAGAAACTTTCTAGTGCATTTAAATAGCATCAAGGGGCAGAGAGGAAGCATTTTTTTTCTGGGGCTAAATTCAAAGAAGGCTTTTAGAGGACATGGTGTCCTGTGATTAACTTCTCTTACATACATACTTGTCACTTCTTGTAAGAAATCCAGACAGGGTCGGCTACTTCCAGAAATACTTATTGAAACAGCCAGTGGGGTCTGTCCTTCATAGTTCCTTGTGTTAGTGTCTGCTCCGTAATTATACAACATTTGTGCACAAAGCACATCATCTCTAAGAGCAGACAAGTGTAAGGGCGTCTGTCCATCTTCCAAGCGACCCAAGTTTGTATCCGCCCCTCTCTGAAGGAACATTCGGCAGTAAGAGTGATTGCTTTTGATCACAGCGTATCGTAACAGGAAACCATTTTGAATGTCGATGTTGGCATTGTGATCCAGAAGGATTTTCACACAGCTTGACCTCTCTCGGATAATGGCCAGCTGAAGCGGTGTAGTACCTTTATCACTGAGCGGATCAACCTCAGCCTTGAACTCCAACAGGAGTCTGACAAATGAGTCTCTGCCATAGTGGGCTGCTACATGGAGGGGAGTCCAACCATCGTTGCTTTTTGCATTAATAATGTCACTTCTATATTCAGATTCCAACATCAAGCGTGCAATCCTCGCTCGGCCATGCATGGCTGCATAATGCAGAGCAGTGAAGCCTCCAATTAAGTCCTTAACTGTGGGATCAGCTGAAGTTAAAATAAAATTAAAAAATAATTAGAAGGCATTACAGTAATCCAGTGCTGCAGAAAAATAATCAAATGGTTGAATGTTAGTCTTTTCAGGCATAGCATGACAGCATTTTTTGTACTTCAGACTAATTCTTGTTTTCATGAACATGCTATTTTGAAGAAAAAGTTAAAAATATATTTAAGAAAGAGTTACCAGAAAAAAAGGTTTCTTTTATATACATATGTTTCCGTTTGACAAATAGTTTTCCACATCTTCCTAGCACTCTTAGGCTAATTACTCAAATCTCTGTCCATCCAGTTTTCCTCCAGCTCTACAATATTACATTTCTTTCTCAATGTTCAACTTTTTTTTATTTTCCCTTGTGTTGCTTCTTGGTCTTAAAAAGAAGCATGTGTAGAAACATCTGCTGTCCCAAATTGCGGATGTTTTGTGGTCTGGCAGGACTGTATTGTTTTTAGGGTATAATACTGTATTAGGTAAAATGTTTCTCTGTGGTCTGCAGGATTTCCAAAGCATGTAAGATATATGTTATTTTAGATTATCTTGATAAAGTCTGTTTTTAATAGATGAAGAATCTGTTCTGAATTTATAGTTTTACAAAAATTTAAGATTTTACAAGAATGTAAGCATCCACTTATAGAAGGAGTCAGGGAAAAATATTACTGCAGAATACAAGTGACTACGCAGATTATTTTTCCCCCGCTAACATAGCACAAAAACCTCAGCCTGATTTATGAATTGAAAAATTAAAATAATCAAATCAAATTACTTAATTTAATTTCCTCAATACACCCAGACTTCTAAAGCAAGTGACTATTACCATGTACCAAATTAATTACCGAAGGAAAGGCGCCTGCCTTGTTACCATTTCTCAGCTAGAGAACAAGTCAGGCTGCGAGGTTTCTCCTTTCACCATCCGTAGATGCTGCCTGTCGGACGCTAAAAGGTACAAACTACAGTTGGGAAGTTTGAGGCACTTTCCTAACCTAACTCTCCTAGGGGGTAGAGAGATACTACATGCAGAAGACATTAGCCTTAAGTCCACACATTTTCCATACTCCTGCATATCTACTAAAACAACTGCTGGGGTCTGTCCTTCACAGTTGCCTGTGTTCTTGTCTGCTCTGTAATCATACAACATTTGTGCACAAAGCACATCATCTCTAAGTGCAGACAAGCATAAGGTTGTCTGTCCACCTTCCATAACCTCAACAGCCCTGTCCTTGCATCCTGGCATGTTGAATTCTTTTTAATTTCCTCATCTATACATACTGTGTTTAGAAGGAAAGGAGCAGTGGTCTGGAAGGTGGTGGTCAGGAGGGGAAGGACATTGTGACCACGCAGGTTTAAAACAAACTTGGCTGCAGGCTATGAACACCTAATGCTCACACACATTGCTCAAGAGGAGCACTTGCTCTCCTGTACCGTGGAGACAGCACAGAGTTTTCTGCTTGGTTGCCATCACGCTCAAACAGGAGAGGGGAACAGGGTGGCAGACGCCAATTTGCATCTCAAAATTCAGATGTCCTGTAAGTTAAGTTCACAATACAATATAAATTGTAAGCCAGTTTAGTCTGAAGACATCTGAACACACAAAGGTGCTAACACAAACCAACAAGAATAAGCTTCCCAATGTGGACCTACCGCGACCATACCCAGGTGACACACCAAGACAGACATCACATCAAAATAAAAGGACTGGCAAGAAAGATTACAGAATACAGCTGCAAAGGTGATCCAGAAAGTTTAAAAAATCCTTAAAGTAAAGATTGAGGGAAGGAAAACAAACAAACAAAATCCAACATACAAACTAATGCAGCCTGACTACAAGAGAAATAAAATGTGAGAACTGCCTCTAGTGTATAGAACAGGAACCTAAAAATAAAGAGAGAAAGATTAAGGAAAGTTTAGTCCCTTAGTAGTGACAGCCTTCCTAATCTTCTGTGAAAAGCAGAAGTTTCAGCGCTCTGTAAAGTTACACTAACCTGAGTTAAAGTAATTCACAAAGCATCCACAGGCTGGCAGGAAAATGAAGTCAGTGACTGAATAGGTGGTTCTTAACCTGCACTATGATGATGTCCAAAATATAGCAAAGACGCAGTACAACCCACAAAGTCATTAAAGACAAAGATACTATTTCAAAGTGATGTTTGCTGCTCACAGGGTCTCCTTCTTCGCACTGCTCAGACTATTCTAGAGTATCTCCTGACTGGTAATTATAAGTGAGTAGCTAAGCGTGAGAATTAAGATGCAGAGGAACGATACACTCCAAGAGGCAGCATTAGGGAAAAAGATGTACATAATGGAAAGGAGACAGCAGCAGCCATGGCCATTTTCTACAAAAAAAGTTTAAAAAAACCCATTCATGCTGTGCTGTTTCTCTTACATGGTGCATAAAGCATGCAAGTCAATCATTTGTATCCCCCAACTGAGGTGCAGAATACTGCTGCTAGCTTGTTTAGTCTATGCTATTTCCAAATTCAATCAGATATGCCCCAACTTTTGTGTGTGCATGCATATGCATTTTTATACAAGTTGTTGTAATCCAAACCCAGTAATTTATTTGCAACATAAGGATGCCCTTTACCTATGGCTTTAAGTACCTTTTCATGCTTTCCCCACTCGCAAGGTTTCATTGCTTTTGAGCGCTAAAGTGAACTGAAAAAAATACTAAGCTATGTAAGAGATGCACTTCAACAAGAATAGGAAAAAAAGCCTCTCAGCTGGGCAACCTAGCAACACGAACAACTAACTTTCCAAAAGTAAACCCGGCAGCAAAATCTCATGGTAAAAATATTGTAATTCCCATTAAGATTATGGGCTTCTAGTGAGCTGACGGTACCAGTCTCTCCCTTGGTTAGGGAAACAATTTCAAGAGGACCAAACCATCTGTTGCTATACAGTCAATGTTTTGCTGCCATCTCCTGGAAAACCTTTGAACTTCACAAGGGCTTTTAGCATAAGTTGGACCTGCATTACATTGCATACAATTTCCATTCGTTCAGTCCCCATGTTAGTAAAAGTAATGCTACAAAGCTGATGCTGCCTTAAGAACTTGGGCTGTTGTGTGTGGGGGTTTGTTTGGTTTTTTTTAAAGGCTTCAGCATTGGTGTCATGCTGTAAAGTAACTCTCCCCCTGGAACGCAAGCAAGGTAGAAATGAACTGGGAATGAATCTCTGCTTAGCTTTCAGAATTTGCAGAGGGGTAAAAAAAAAAAAAAAAAAAAAGTACCTGGTACAAGTATATTTACCTAGGAAGGGATGAAGCCAGCACTTCCCAGCATTTCTTTCTCTTGCTTCCATGCTGATTGTCAAACAATTATTTCTTTTTAAGCTTCCCATTAATTTCGGGAGAGCATAATCTAGAAACATGAACAGCTGCATTTGGTCACTTCTAATGTTCTTAAATATAAGGCATAATACAATGGCATAAACCTTGAACTGCTTATTAAGGGTACCAAATTACTGCAGTCAAACTCACTTGAGATTGAATATCATTCAGCATTGCAAATTTTCAGATTATTTTATTTCATGTTAAAGTTGGGCACCTAAGGTAGTCATTTAAACTCTGTTGTTAATGAAATACTTCCCTAATACAGTAATTTAGAGGATATACAGATTCCTGAACAAGAGTCTAACATTAAGAGTTTCAATTTACAGCTCAGTGGGACAGATTTCCTTCTTTCTTGATACCTTCATTAGGCCACCCTATCACAGTCTAATTTGGGAAGCCAAGAAAGCAATGCTTCTGGCTTCATAAAGTACTTCTATTATTTCAAGCTTACTTCCCCCAACTAGGGATTAATTCTGACCACAAGGTTTAGAAACATGGCTACACATAGTTTCTGTTTTGAATTTTCTAGGACAACATTGATACAAAAGACCTCCAGGAAAGCATTACTGTGCAGACACAGAAACACTTTATGAGCTGGTTTAGGGGGATGAGCATTTGGCATTCTCTAGTTTCTCTCAGATGCTGTGTGATGTTACTAAAATTTAGATACCTTGCAGCCAAGACTAAAAATAAATAAATACGTCTGTTTGGCTACTTCTTTCTGTACTCTTAGACTTCTAGGAGCTTTAGTGAATCATTTCTTCACTTTAATACCAGTAACCAGAAACTGTCCTGCTCAGTTAGTATTGAGAAGATACCACCAAGGGACAACTCTCTTTCAAGACGTTAGCTCGTTGTAATGTTAACAGTGGTGGTTGGGGATTAATAAAACATAGTTTTATTAATCAATCCAGTGTTGGATTAAACAATTAAACAATCCAGTGTTGGACTGTCTGTCTCAATATGTCATTTTGAAAATAAAAAAAGTACACCAAAGGAAAAAAAAGGCTTGTTACACAAAAAAAACTATACTTAAAAATATACTCCCTATTTTTGTGTTGCTTTCCTGTTGACCTTTGCGTCTCTAGTTGTTTCTGTGGATGGAAAGAGCTAGCTTCATAGAATCTTCACTTTTTTAAAATAAGACAAATATATCAAGAAAGTAAAATTCACTGTTTTTCATGGAATCCAAGTTTCTCCATGGTTCTGATCAACTTTCTTCATTCATCACTTGCTAAAGAATATCTGACCTATTACCTCTGTATCTAGTTGGTATTTCTGCTGGCTTCATCCTTTAGTACGGACTGGTTTTTTTTATGCATTTTCCCCATCTATCTGCGTCTCTTTGCTCAGCAGATAATAAAAAGCTTCCTCCTGTTCCACCACCTCCACTCAAATCAGCCAATCTGTATGCACAATGCTGTCCCTCTGGCTCATTTCTTTGCTGGTGAGCAATGATGGAAGAGAAGGGGGAAAAAAAAAAAAAAAAAGCAAAAGCAGGAGGCGGACAGGTCATGACTCCCATAAGAAGCTACCTTTTATTTCCAGGTCAGTGACCAGATTCCTTCTCAGCCTTTATTAGCCAAACTCCATCTCCAACCCACGACTGTGCAAGACTACGTCAGTAGTCTTCCAGCATCTCTGATCTGAGGCACAGCACTCTACCCTCAGCCACAGCCCAGCATGGTTTTCTCATTACTACGAAAACTTTTCTAGCTCTGCTAAGCTTCATTGTCCCTCTAGACAGCCACAAGTATCACCAGTTGCCCCTTCCTTCCCCCTAACATCTCAGTTCCCTCTTTCCTCCATCCACTCCTTTTCACTATCTTCTATATTATTAATATATATAGTCAGTTCAGTACTCTGTTTACCATAAGATTCACACCAGAAAATTACTTTTTCCTTTACCCCAATAGCATTTTGGTCCACAGGGATTAAGCGCTAACATCAGAATGATCCACTTCTTGAGAGGGAGAAAGATGGAGACTGTGTGAAGAAAGGTAGACACAAACCTCTTGCTAATGAGGCAGGCATGATTAACTCTGCTTTTAAGAGTCAGCTCATTCACTGCTTAATAGCTCATTTGTGACATTATTATGTTTTAAATACTCATCTTTTATGCCTCTGTTTTGAGGGAAAACAAGGCAAGGCACAAAACAGTGCCAATTTTCTGAAGCGAGGCTCAGCTACAGGAAAGCTGCCGTAGATGACTAACCCTCACACTATTTGTTACTCAACTTTCTAGTCCTGGTGATTAAACGCTATACTGCTTCCAGAACAAGGGTGTTTCATTACAGGCAGTTTTCACAAGGCATCAGATTCAGCTGGTACTTTGTATAGGAAAGAGTAATAACGAAAATAAAAACAGAACACCGCATCAGCAGCTATTTCATAACAAATCCTATACCATGAAAATACATAGTAATACATAAGGGTTTTAGGTTTTTTTTTAGATCATTGTCAAGTTTACAGAGCTAAAAGCAACATATTTCAAGACTTACAGCCTAAAAATTTTGAATTATCAAACTGAAGGCTTGAGATTACCCACATATATTACATTTAAAAGGCAGAACTTAAGGTTATCTATTAGTGCAATTTAGTAGCTTTTTCCCTCTTCCAATAGGGACATGAGGGTCTGCCAACATTATATGGTTAGAATCTGTACTGAGCAACCTGATCTAGTTAGCCGTGTCCCTGCTCCTGCAGGGGGGTTGGACTAGATGACCTCTAGGAGTCCCTTCCAACCCAAAACATTCTATGATTCTATGATTATCAGCAACGTCCAGTTTTTCAGGCTCTATTTCACTCCTGCTCTTAAGGAACATGCCACTAATTGTGCAAATAGCACAGCCTATTAATGCCATTCAATTTTAAGGGTGATCCATACATCTGACAACTACTGCAATGTACATAAGGGGCCCATATGGCCTCAGATACGTAAAGCATCAAAAAGATAATTTCAGGTCCCTTGGGACTGAAGACATCTTGGTTCACAATTCATTTGATGAGAACAGCGCTAGATTAGAGGATGCTGTTCTTTAAAAGCATTAATCAGAATGTGGAGAACATCTACTGATTTTTATTTTTCCTCTCCATTTCCTTATATTAAAAGATGAAGACTATCCATTTCTAAAACTTTAGGTAGCTTTGAAAGAAGATATAGCAAAAAAATTCCAACTGTACCATTTGAGGGGTAATAATCATCACCCAAGAGAGTATATCCAACAAACCTCAATCGGTTCTTGAAATAAAGCTTCGCTACGGATGGATGCTGGAAAGGTATAAGCTCAACTGGACTAGATGACACTAAAGTCCGTGCACAAAGAGTACTGTTTTCATAAAGTTTGGCAGGCTCTGTTAAAGCCTAAACGGAAACTTAGCCTTTAATGAAACTAGTTAACTTGCTTGAGAATTACAAAACAAAGTTCCCTAGGATTTCAATTCAAGGACCTGCCTTCCTCTAATAATAGCCCCTACCAGAGAAGAAAAGCCTATACTGAGTGCTGTGAGTGCATTTAATTTTATAATGAGTGCTTCTGCCCTATTTTCATAATGCTTATTCATCTTTTAACAATTCCTAGGCAGTTCTGGGGGGGGAAAAAAAGAAAAAAGTAGTAACGTATTAAGATATAAAGCTAATCTATTACCTCATTCACAGAGTATGCATCAGAAGTAGACAGAGATGAAGTACTGCTCCAAAGAAAGAAAAAAAAAAAATAATAAAAAAAAAATCAGAAGTAGTCTGATAGCTAATCAGCACTGGAAAGCCCTACAATGGAAACAGGGATAGAAAACTGTGAGATGGGTATCAAGATTTTTCTTTCCAGGCAACTCACCTCCATGTTCAAGAAACATACCTGTGAAAGGTGGTGGTAAAGAAAATTAAAGCAAGGTCCAGCCATTGGCATCTCGACCATTCGGAGAATATCCTTGCTCCAGCATCTTGCGCACGGTGTGAACATCGCCAGCAGCAACTGCAGCCTGAATCTGCAACTCTTCCTGTAGTTCAGGGTTTCTCCGACAGTGATGGTGTAACATCCTAGCTGAATCTGGCTCTTACAGAAGTGTCATGAGGTCACACTAGTCACCTTGAATCAATATAAAGTGTGAGTAAATAAGGATTGGGACTAGGAAAGAGATATCTAGAAAAAAGTCACTACTAGTGAAAAACAATGCTAAGAGACTCTCTGTATGCAGAGCAAAGTCATCTTATATGCAGGATAAAAAACAGTCTCACTGTTGCCAGCAAAATCATAGTACATGGTTCACATCACTGAACTGCAAAAGAAAAGGACACTTACACATTATAAATAGCAAACATTTTCTTCAGAAATGACAGCATCAGACGACAGTCCACAATTAAAGCACCCAAGCAATAAGCAAAATGAAAGATCTCCAGAACTCAACATTCAATTAAAAATCACAACATGGTTAATATCACTAACTCCAGAGATACTGGTTAAATAGATGATCTAAATTGTTGCACGGAACAGCACGGCATTGCTAGAGCAACTGAACTACAATATTCTTTACTTTTTTTTTTTCCTAGAAATGTATCACCTCTAAGCTTCAGTGAAAATATTTTCATCTTATTAATATAACCTTTTGCTGTGACCTACTGCACGTGAATATTAGTAACACTAACGTTCAAACTGAATACTTTAGTTTTCTTTTTTCTTCTTCTCCCCCCCCTTTCTATTTTTTTTAATTTGAGTCTACTGTCTGTATTTTGGCTTGTGGACTTCTTTAATAGTACATAAAGACTGCAAAGAACCTCTATATTCCAAAAATCAAGCACAAATATTAAAGTCTGTTAAGTGTTTACATTTCCACATACATTGTGTATCATATCCCATTAACATATTCCTAGAACAGAAAGGACTATCAGAAGAAAGAGAATAAAAGCAGGGTATTAGAAAGGTAATGCTGAGCAATAGGAGTCTCAGACGATATTCAAAAACTGCTGTGATGGATATTAACACAGAACTAGAAGATAAAAAAGGAGAAAGAAAAATGTATTTGGACTCCTGTAAAGTTAATCAAGATTAAAGTACAAGGAAAAGTTCTAAAGACAATAATTTTAAGGAAAACTTGAAATTTACAGCAATCTGGTTTTATTAGGATGTCAACCCACATCATCACCGAAACCTTCTTTTACGTAAATCTCATAAGGATCCTCATGATTCATAGGCCATTCAAAAGACATTGCAATCAACTCCCCATATCCCACTGGGCACTTGTTTTCCTGTGATCCAGATATACACACAGACGAGAAAAGTGAAAACATCGATCACTGCCATCATTCCAGATGAAGGCACAGTTATCTATTCACTCTTCTATAACCTATATAACCTAGTTGTGCCCATTGCAAAGAAGTTACATATCTGCTTCTCAGAGAGATATAAACTCATAACTAACGGGTAGCTACAACAACCCTACACACATTGCAAATATGGAACTTACACACAGCAAATGCCCACCTTCAACATTTGTAAGTGCTTCAGCTTACCACGTATGGCAACAATCACTATTTCAGCATAGGGTTATGAAAGAAGACTTTTTAGTGCAATAGGTTATACATGGCTTAGGTACTGGCTTGGTTTTGTTTTATAGTATGAACTCCATTATCTGACACTGGAAGAAAAGGGGATTTACCAACCAGCAACTGCTAACTCAATCGTTCAGCTTCTGCGGCATATTCCAAAAATCAAACTTTGTTAATCTGATGACAATGGAAGTATTTCTATTGACTCTAATAAGCTTTTGCTAAGCTCTTTTCTAAACTGCAATTAGCACTTCAGAACATGCTCACCTATAAGACAGTGAGCTTGACTTCATTCTGGATCACACCACTAATAGTACTGTTAATGAAATTCCAGCTACAAGAACAAGATCTTCCTTTGGATTTACAAGTGAAAACTGATAGTAGAACCTGACTGATAAGTATGAGCCAGGGAGAATCCTTTAAAAAAAAAAAAAAAAAAAAAAAAGAGCATGCTCCTTTGGCCCTACTTTCTGAATGTGTACAAAAACAAGATATGAAAACTTTTCTCTCAAACTGAGAATATTTGATCAAAAGTTAATATAAACAAACTCTCTACTGCCATTTTTACAGTCCCTTCTTGTAAAGGACCAATACTTGCAAGATCTCATGTGATCCTGAAAATTAAGGTCAAATTAATTGCTCGAAAAGCTACAGAAAGAGATAGAATGACTAGACAGATGAAGAGAAATGGGATTTCTCATTTAAGGGGACAGCAGTATCCCCCCTGCAAATATCTATGAAGACAGTTGGTTAAGAAAAAGCAAAGCTCTTTATATCACACTTTCTCAGCTGGTGGGTATATTTGTAATGCAGCATTATAAAAAGTTGGCACTGGCCCCATATGTTGCATGTGACTAGCAGAGCTTATTCAAATTAGCTAGTACTAAAGTACATAAGTACTAAAACATACAAAGCAGAAGACAAAGTCAGGCATAAGCAGCTCCTTTTATCACTTGCGCAGTTTCTGTAAATATCTACTCTTCTATCTCACCCCTATGGCAAGAAATGAAATTCAAATTACAAGAAGACTTAAGTGTAACATTAAAGGTTTCAGGATAGTTCTAGGTACACACCAGCTTTGAAAACATTTTTACTTCTGCTCCATAGATCATTTAAAATTCCTGTTTGCAAATCCCCATTTACACCATCAATCTTTGGAGAAGGAAAGGAAGACTACTGGAAGTCATTAGCCATTTGGCACTTAATATTTAATGTTTTGCAACTGTAATCAATCTCATTCAGACCACAGTATGCATTTGGATTGCTCCATATTGGCTTTCTTCATGCAAGTAAAAAAATGAAATGAAGTAGAGGGGGAGAAAAAACATACCTATACATCCTTGGTTGTAATGATTGTATAGTGCTATGAAAATGGAGGACAACAACAACTACTTAATTGATTCTGCAAGCACAACAGGATAAATTCAATGTGTTCCTGAATTACCTTATAGGAGGTTGTCACTCTTTGACAGATGTCCCACTCTTCATTGTCTTCACTTTTCATAATCTTCTGTGCCCACATGTGTCAAAACCTGCTACACCTTTAAAAAAAAAAAAAAAAAGATATTTCTTATTAGTTGCAAAGAGTAAAAGTTTTACTTACTTTTACTTTGTACCTCTGCTAGAATGCTACATTTTAATGCAGTATGCCAGAAAAGGCCCTGAAGTGTTTTCTTTGATTATCAGACAGTCCTCCAGAGGTTGGGGTGGGGAGAGTTTGCTTCTACCAGATGAGGAAAAGGCTACAGAGAATATTATAAGGAAAACAAGAGAAACAAGAGATGTGCGTCTGGAGTAAACCTTGAAGAAGTGGTCTAAACTCTTCCCTAGGGATTACACATATCTGCTCCTGCCATAGAACAAGAATGGATGCAAAGGTTCCAGTAGGTATTTCTGCCTGACTGTTCACCACCTCCCTGTGGGAAGCAGATGCCAGGAAAAACCTTCAGGATTCATTCAGCTCCTCCCAACCCATTTTTGTGGGTTTTTTGGTTTGGGAGGTTATTTATTTATTTATTTCCATCCCATCTATGCTTTCCTATCTAAAGAATAAAATCTGACAACACAGAGCATGGACTTCTCTGTCCTTCCCTAGACTGCTAATAGCACCAGATAGTCGTCTCTCCCTCACATGACGGATCAGGCTAACACATGCGGGGTGTTTTACCAACAGGTAAAGATATCTTCACAATACAAGCAATACCACCACCTCAAAAATCTTCACCCTTTTCTTCATATATAAAAACTATCCTTTTAGTATCAAAGTTTACTGAACACCAGTTACAATCCCTACCCAGTTTCCTCCTTCAGACCAGCCCACCTTATCCTCCTTCCTTGTCACCTGCAGTTAACGGGATCAGTCCCAACATTTGACAGTTTCTCACAGCACTGTTGAGAGCCCATACTCATTAATATTATTTCATTAATTCTTGTACACCTCTGTCTGACCTTTCGTTCAATTTGGCTACAAGCTCCTCACAACAGGACCCCTTACCATGTGTGAGCACTGCAGTAATATAATAAATAACAGCATTAATTACTTCATTGTATAGCAGACCACACAAACCCAACTGTGACTCGTTTCTTCTGCAAATGAGTTGAAGACCAATTATATGAACTGTACAGCTTTTAGCTTAAGTTAAATTTCTGTCACTTAATGCAACATAAAAATCTTTGCTTTCCCGACGATAGCTCAGAAGAGGAGGATGAAAAAAGCTCTCTTCATCCCTCTTATGCACATTTTCCAAGAGCTTTGCTTCCCAAGATAAAACATACAAGGTCTGCAGATATGCTCACAGCCCTGCACAAAACTGCACTGCCATGACCTAATTTGATCACATTTCTAGCCTTGTTTTTTTTTGCATAGATGATCAGTGGTTAATTCACCTTTTTTTTTTTTAATTTTTGCATGATTTTCACTTTAAAACCAACACATTTTTTATTAGCTGATGCAAATTAGAATTGCACTGACTTCACAGACTACAGACAAGGTAACAGATTGCTCCACTAAAAAAGTAACAAGCTTTTTTCCCCCCAAAGGAAAATTAGCTGCATATGGCAAGAGTAAGATCTGCAACTTTAATAAAAAAGAAGTCATATTTAGTGAAAGCAAAGCTCATTTACTCAATGACTTAACAAAGTTTGCTTAAAATACTAATAATTGTAGTAGAAGTAGCACACACGAAGAAAAAGACAAACATCTTCATTATCTATTGATAACGCCTCATGTTGTCAAAGAGATCTTAGACTTTTCTGCATCAATGTGTCACTTCATTAAAGTCACTACAAACATCATGTGGAAAATTAATTCAGATATATGTATATACTTCTTTAAAGAAAGTTCAAGGCTGGTACTAAAAGCAAGACCTTATAATACAGTATTTTGCTCATTCAGATGGCCTAACAGATAGACCCGATTCCTAAGATTTCACGTCCAAGAGCAGAGTAAGGATCATAATTTCCTGATGTTGGCCTGACTCTATCCAACAAGGAAAGTGTACCATTACACATGACATTTAATACCTAGCATAGACCTAATCAGTGTAGATCCTAGCTGTCTGTGGTTGGAGTATTCCAAGACATTTACATCAAACAAACAAAAAAAGCCCTGTGGAATAAGGATAATCACATTAGCATTCATTATTCTCAGAACTCACTTCTCCCACCCATTTCAAAACTCGAACAAGCTAAATGTGTTCTCACTCAAATGCCATTTAAAAAATGGCCAATATGTGTTTGACAAAGAAACTAAACGCGACTATCATCTTCATATGTCGCTCAGCTTCCTATTTCAGGAGCTCTTCAGACAAGAGAGTAAGGCAAACAGTCACGTCATTATTTGTGTTCTCATATCACAATCATAAAGTTTGCAAATAGCGTGTGAGATATTAAAATTTCACAGAGCCTTATAATCCTGAATATATTCTCTTTCTGCTAGATGTTCTACGCTACATCCCAGACAGACATCAAGCGAGGTACCCAAGTGGCAGAGATGAAAACCACCAAGCAACACATGTGAATAGCTGGGTCTGAAAGCAATGAGTTAACAGTGCATGAATCCACAACATCACAGCAGAACTGCTACTTCAAAGGAAAAGAAGCCTTCACTCTTAATATGACAGCTTACGAAAAGTTACACATTTCTCGTCAGAGCTTCTGTAATGCCATCTCATAGCTTGGACATACTAAATTTAAAATAACTAAAAGAGTTAATCTCAAAGTCCCCCATCAACTTCAGGTGTCTATAGCACTGTATGGTGCTGACCAATATTGCTATATACTAATAAGCAGCTGTTGTGTGTTACATTCTGCAGGTGGCTGAAACTGAAGTACAGAGGTATCGTTTTACCAACTATTATCCGTTTCACAGCGAGGTTGTGGGGTCTGACTTTTGGGCCTGATGGAGAATTCGTTAAATCACCCAGCTCAATTAAGTTCGGGTCTGCAAACTGGAGAGCAAAAGAAGAGACCTGACCTTCAGAAAGCACTGGCCTACTACCCATCCCCAGAATTCCCACTGGCAACCTTAACCATAAGCGGAGCCCAGTGCAGAAAATACTGTAAGTCCTTCCAAATCAAGGACCTCAATGCTAGTGCTAAAGCAAGGCCTTACAGATTTTTTTCAGTAGAGAATGCTGCATCAGGTTCGCACAGCCACAACTCTCCTCCCTCGAGATGCACGCTGACAAACTGCAGGGAGCTCGTGGTCTCCAGCGTTCTTGGAGATCCTCTTGTACCAAGCATAAAATACAACCTCTCTTCTAACCTACAGTGGTGCTGTTACTAAGTTTTAAACAGTAAGAATCAGATGACAATTTAGCCTTAAAAGTAAGTAATAATTCTTAGTGAGTGTTAACGTGTACGGTTTCTGTATGAAATCATGACTTGCTATCACTAAAGAATCCAAACACCAAGATTTCATAGAATGACAGAAGCAGAAAACAATGGTTCAAACCACATTAAAGCAGTCACTTGAGCCCTAAAACTCACAGCACAGCTGATGAACAAAATGAGCGCTGCTTACAGAGTTTATTTCATTCAACAATCTCTGGAAGACTTGCATTTACGCTGTATTTCTTTTTAATATAGCCTAAAAGAACCCAAGTGGACAAAATTCATTGGATGACTTGAGCGGATGAAGTTACATTTTTCACTGCAGTAGTGTCATTCTGTAAGCAAATGCTGGAACAACAGAAAACAACTGCTCAGTCAGCACATCTCCTTTAAGAGTTTAGAATTCACAATAAGGCAAAACAAAACCAAAATGAGTATGCAGCCTGAAGATGAAAACAAAAAATGGATGTGCAACTTTATCTAAGGGGCTAGCTATACTTGCAATATGCTGCATTTCTTCCAGAGATGAAGAGCAGGACTTCAGCACATCATTTATCTCTGTTCCTTGTTTTGACCATGTGCAAATTTCTGCCAGAAAGCCAATTCCCTGAAGCCTGTGAACTCAATTCCAGTCTCTGCATCCGAATCAAACTTTACTGCGCTGGCATTTCACATTAGGAAGGAGCTTCACAAATCAAATGAAAACTTACACTTCCTTCCATGAGTAAATCCCAAAGATCTTGTGACTTACTGGCACCGAGAGGTGTCCTGTTGGAGCAGCTACATTAACGCAAGCTGTGACGTTAGATGTGCCGGATAGGTTGTAAAGAGGATGTTATAATAAACCAACCTTGGATGAAACAGGTATGCCATTACTGCACTGGTAAGTTTGTATTAATACATGTCTGTCTTGCCTATTAGCATAAAAATCCCTCCTGCAATCAGACTTACACGTGGTTTTGCAGTATGCTATCAAAATAACATGGAATATTTCTTCCCTGTACTTTCAAAGTGCATCTCAGAATTTATTGCACTTGTGTTACAGGGGGGATTTTCTATTTAATCTTTGACATACAGCAGCTACTATTTATCATCATCTGCTAAAGTCACCTATATTAGAAAAATGATCCACCCCTGACCAAGATTGTTGGCATTGCTGACAATGAAAAACATTCTGGTACAGTCAACGACATCTCTGAAAACATGACAAAGACCAGAGGGACCTACATAGAGGACAGATTTGCCAAAAGAACACAAACTCATCTACATTTGAAACGGATTAGAATGGATTCAAGACAGACTCTGCATTAAAAGAACACGCAGAAACTCCATTATTTGGAGCGCACTAACAGTAGGATGCAGGAAAAGGCTGACTGACATCATTCACACACACACCCCCCCCTTCTAGAACCCATCTCTTCATCTTACCATGTAAAACACACAATTCTCCCTACGAATTGCTCTCTCTCTGAAACCGAGCCTTCCTCCTACCAGCAGGATTCAGTTTTTGATGACTCCTTTCAATTTTTCCCTTAAGCACCTAACAGCATTATCTTCTCCTATGATCTCAACCCAAAAAGTAAGTACTTGTAAACAAACACCATCCAATTAAATGAATTTCAATTTTTGCAGCTCCGTTACAATACAAAAAAACCTGACCCACGCAAAAGTTAGGTATGACTAAACCAACATAATGCAATTACCACGACCTACTCCAATAAAGATTTTAGAATCAGAGTGGAAACAAATCCAGCATCGCACCCATAAATTGGTGAAAGGGCTTTAAGAAAAGACCCTTTTAATTACGGAGAGTGAATTAATTTTGAAATGACATTCCCGAGATGAGGAGACACACAAAAAAATAAAAATTAAGTAGCAATTCATAAGCAAAATAATGTTTGCAGATTAAATTTAGAAAATGACAAAGCGCTACAAGAAGAAAGAGGAACTGCATTTCAAATGCGCTTCAGAGCTTTCAAACTTTTAAAGCTCAGTAGCAAGTAGGTTTTAAGAGAACAAAGAAATCTAATGCTACCTATTCAAATCTGTCAAAAACACAACAAGAGGCCCCAATCCCTAAAATCCCAAAAGCCAAACCATGTGTCTAGGATGATTTTGAGAGTCTACATGAATGATCACCTTTCTGGTTTTGGTTTGTTTTTTTTTTTTTTGAGTGCTGTTTTCTCTCTTCTGTCTTATTTCGTTCGTTGGAGTCACAATTTTTAATTCTCCTTTAAGGCAGCTTAAACCTAAAAAAATAAAAGTAGAACTGAGCCACACGATGACATAAAAGAGAGAAATGGTGAACAAAAATGGTTAATACCAATCAGCAATAGCAGGTCAAAATAGGAAGAGCCTTCCAAAATTAGGAAGGAAAGGGTTATTTACCTAAATCGGGATCTCAGCTGGAAAAGAAGGGCAGTCTCTCGGGACACTAAGGAGTGGAGGGACAGTAAGGGCAGGACCGATACCCTGTCAAGCCAGCTTCTCCAGGGAATGAAGTAAAAGATAAGCGCTAAAGAATGGGACAGGAAGTAACCCAGAAAGCAGAGCTGCTGGGAAATTAAAATCACTCCCTTGCAGGAGTTCATGCTTCAGGAACCGTCAGCGCACACACAGAGAGGAGAGAAAAAAAAAAAAAAAAAAAAAA